ATAGTTTGTATTTAACTCATCTTAAATTAGTCATAACTTCATATCTGGAGCTCCGTTTGAGGCGTGTAATATATCGTTGGAAAGGTCTTTAAGTCTAATTTCTAATGCAATTTGAATCACTCCATTATCATTTATATATCAAAAGTTATGAGCATAATAGTGAACATGTGTCATATTTGTCAAGTATTTCATCAACGTTTTGCTTCATTTTCACTTAAGTTCGTCTCGAACACATGTTTTGATATTCTTAAGCAATATGTTTTCATACTCCATGATTATTATACTCAAGATTAGCCAACCATACTCCATTTTCATATAAATCACCTGAAATTCATCAAAACACACAAACAAAGAGTAGTAGAGCACAGCTTAAGCAAATAATGCAAATTTGCACTAAAGATCTCTAATTTTGTAATCAAATGAGCTTAGATACCCACCTAAAACATGTGCAAAATAGGACCTATCAAATTCCCCCAAGATAAACTCTTGCTTGTCCTCAAGTAAGATGATCAAAGATAATCAACAACCAAACAACATACTTCACCCCATAATGCAAATATAGAACACGACTCAAAATCGAAATCAAACAAGCATGCATCCTAGCCAACCATTAAATTACTCAAACCGTCGATCCACCTAATCAATCGTCAAACGAGACCAACCATGTATATTTCAAGAATCGATGACTAGAGTATCTCACATCGGTGGTCACTTAACACACTTTTTATGTGGCGAGCTAAAAATGAGCTCGATCTCTCACCATCCCCACCAATAATGCAATCCCCCCATCTCACAACACTCCCATGTTTGGAGGGTTATAATATCTCTCAACCTAGTCAATGTCGACTCGAAATGCAACATATACTTCAACATTTTGACAAAAGACTCATTTCACATGAACACAACGCTATGCACGAAGATCGGAAGGACTTATGAAGCTTGTAACGTAGGCCGGGAATAAGAATGGGTAGGAAAATAATTTGGGAAATGTGGGCTATATTAGCCTAATCGGGGAGCTATCCAATGCAATGAGTCACACCTCGATTCACCATTTTTCAATCAACAAAACACAAACCCAACTACAATAAAAGCACCCATTACTTCTTCACATTTCTTTCTAACTTCAAGCTTCCTTTTATTATTTTATTCACATCAACATTTTTTTCTCTTTTTTATTTTCTTTTCTTTTTATTTTCTTTTCTCGAGAACAAAGACACTTTCTTTCATTTTAAGTACAAGATTTTCCTTCTTTGTTCTTCGATTCATTCTCTTTTTTTTTTTTAACAAACCTCCATGCTAGTCTTCCTTCTTTTCTCTCTCTTTTTTTTTTATATGTCTCTCATCAATTGCAACTTGAAATTAAAATCACACAAAATACTGCATAATATAGCTCCCCCAAGCTAAACTTGGGAAAAGTAACCAAATTGGGGCCAAGGGGTAATTTTTTGTGAAGTTTACGAAAAATATAGTCAAGCTACAACATGGGTAAGCAAGAAGGGAACGGATGTTCTAATTTCGTCTGGAGGCTACCTAATGAACATGGCCTTCGTCATTTCAATGTGCACGTGCAATGCATTACGGCACACTACTAAGAGTCTAAAGTCAAAACTAAGATCAATGCTACACCAGGAACTAAACACACACAAGAATGAATATATAAAGCTCAAGCCTCACGGTTAACACAGTCAAGCTCCTAAATCATACATGGTTAAATAACTTTGACTCCTGTTAGGGATCAACAAATTCAAGGTCAAATCATGATCTTTTAGTCTACAATGCAAGCCTTTCAATCAACATTGAAACAAAACCTTTTTATCATTAAGGGTAGGGGCACAGGGAAGTAGTTCAATGGTCATTAATTGTCATGATTCTCGTATTTTCAAGTTTTTTTCTTTTTTTTTTCTTTTTTTTTTTTTCTGAAATACTAATCAAAGCAATTAAAACTAACCTATGAAAGCAAATAAAACACACCAAAAGCAATAAAATCAAACAAACCAAAGCAATGAAAACTCATAGAACATACCTAAGCTACTATGCACAAACTTCCCCCAAGCTACACTTGGCAATGTCCTCATTGCAGCAAGTGGGGAGTAGGAAATACCGGAGTTCTCACTCGAACTCAAGCTCAGTACCATCATCATCATCGTCGTCAACACCATCATCGTCAATACTTGCTGCTGTTCGCGCCCGATCGGGCTGGTTATGCCCGGTCTGATCGGGCGGAGAGGATTTCCCAATCTTCACTTGATTCTTCCAACGTTATTGCTCGCGCCCGATCGGGCAAGCCTTGCCCGGTCTGACCGGGCAGCGAGCAAAACACCTTGTTTTCCACTTTTGATGAAATCTCTCGGTATCTCGCTCTTCCTATATACCGATGTTCTCTGAAAATAACAAACACAACACAAAAACGACATATAGACACCAAGGGAGATAAAACTAAAAAAAAATAAAAATAAATAAATAAATAAAAAATTGAAAAAAAATTAAACGAAAAGCGGGTTGCCTCCCGAAAGCGCTTGTTTATAAGGTCTTTAGCTTGACCATTCTTTTTCCATCGGAAGAATTTAACGCCTTGAGTAACTTATCATACGCTCCTGCAAACATTTCATTGAGCACTATATAGGGCTTAATTGCAAGCACAATAATCCTTACATAGAAAAGGTTAGGAGCACACAAAGATAACTCAAGGTAAAAAGAGAAATTTAAATAAGGAGATGAAAATATGCCACTAGCTCCTACTTCATCCGCTAAGAGTTTAGAATTAACAGAATTAGTATGTAGGTAGTCTTGTTCTTTATCACCACCTAATGACGACTCTATTAATTTACGCTGACGAATAAGTCCATTAACAAAAGAAAAAGAATTTTCGACTATTGGTTCTACAACTAATGACTTTTCAACCAAAGGTTCTACAACTAATGATTCTTCTTCTATTGAAACCAATGATACCTCAACCACTGATTCTATAGCCAATGACTCTTTAACCATTGGTTTTTTAACCAATGATTCTTCCTCCGGCGTATTATACAAATTATGATAATATTCGTCATGAATCCTCCAATAAATTTCATTCAATACAAGCCGTTTTTCAGAATAATCATATATGAATGGAAAAATTCTAAAATCGTTTGGCGCTCGAACAAAATACTCACTATAAGGGCAATCACGATTTTCATGATAAAGATAGTGACAAAAACAATTGCTAGATGCAAGACGTGAGAATAAATCATCCATCTCCAAGGCATGTATATCTTCAACCCATAAGAGAAAAAGAAGTTAATAATAGCCGACGCAACAAACCAAAAGCTTAGCAAATACGAATCACAAATAACTAGATGAAACCGTTAGTCCCCGGCAACGGCGCCAAAATTTGGTAGGCGTGTCACGTACCTAACAAAAATAACCTAACTAACCACTACTATGTAGACAGGCAAGTAAGGGTCGAATCCCAAGAGACTATGGTTCACCAATAACTATTTAGACTCAAGTAATTACTAAGCAGAATTCAACAATGATCGATTAACTAAAGAACTAATGTATAGAAAATACAAAAATAAACTAAAGAACATGAAGAAATCAAATAATTAAAACATCCAAGATCAAGTATCACCACAATTACGAATGATGCAATTATATTTCTACCCCTAACATACAATTCCAATTGAATGGGGAAAAGTAAACCCTAATCAATACCAAGGACCTCTCTCGAGTATCAATGGCTTCTCTGACATACAATCAAGCCTATTCTCATGGTATCATGCATATTAGAGACATTAAACACATTACTCTCACTTCCCAATCATCAACCCAACTATTCTCATGTTGAAAATCAAACCTTAAATTGATCTACTCAAATCTGTTTAAACCCAACTCTCGTTGTGATAGAAACAATGGAATAATCACAATACTAAGATTACGTCTAACCTAGTATTGACATAATCAAAATCAAATTAGCATAGCAATTGTAAAAGTCATTAGAGAATTTAAACTTTTAATTCATGCATCAATCATAATTGGGCTACCCTAGATCTTGGAATAGGAAATCTACTCACTCATAATGAAATAAACAATAACAATCATAATTATAGAAAACATAATTGAAAAGCAAAAATAATTGAAAAAAATGAAATAGAAATAAATACCAAAGATTCTTCAATTGAACGGAATTAAATTGTTGAAGATAAATGCTCAAATCTAATGGAAAGAATTACAATTGCTTTAAAATATAAAACTAGAACTCTAGAGAGAGAAAGAGGACTAAAGGAAAAATTAAAACTCGTTTTCTAAAGAAGATTGCAACGGGTTTTTATACCCTTAATGACCTAAAAATAAGAAAATAATAATACGGAGTGCCGCATAACTGTGCCCGGTCCAACCGGGCAAGCACCTCCCGATCGGGCGGTGAGAGTACGGAGTTGCTTTCCTTCGTAGCACTTCTTCCACCACGTGCCCGGTCCAACCGGGCGGACCTTGCCCGATCGGGCGCATGGGGCGGTCTTCATAAATTGCTTGCTACCTTCGAAAATACCAAAAATCATCTAACTCCTATGTGCCCGGTCCAACCGGGCGGACCATGCCCGATCGGGCACGTAGAGGCTGCAGCAAATAGTTTGTATTTAACTCATATTAAATCAGTCATAACTTCATATCTGGAGCTTCGTTTGAGGCGTGTAATATATCGTTGGAAAGGTCTTTAAGTCTAATTTCCAATGCAATTTGAATCACTCCATTATCATTTATATATCAAAAGTTATGAGCATAATAGTGAACATGTGTCATATTTGTCAAGTATTTCATCAACGTTTTGCTTCATTTTCACTTAAGTTCGTCTCGAACACATGTTTTGATATTCTTAAGCAATATGTTTTCATACTCCATGATTATTATACTCTAGATTAGCCAACCATACTCCATTTTCATATAAATCACCTGAAATTCATCAAAACACACAAACAAAGAGTAGTAGAGCACAACTTAAGCAAATAATGCAAATTTGCACTAAAGATCTCTAATTTTGTAATCAAATGAGCTTAGATACCCACCTAAAACATGTGCAAAATAGGACCTATCAGTATCAAAGAAATCCATTATGTTACACAACGGGTCTCTTCCATATATATTTTTTGTAAAAAAATAAAAATTCCCATGACAAATTTATCACGGGTATTAAATTTTGAAATTTGAATTTCATTACTCTGCTCTATTGGAAAAAAAAAGTTTAAATTACAGAAGGAATCCACTAAAGAAACTTACATAAACTTATTATTGAAATTTACAAGTATTAGAATACTACATTAACATTAAAAGTACAGAAACTTGTTAAAATAATTAATAACTAATTGATTTAAAGATTTTACAAGCATATACTTTTAATACATTAATAGAATAACTTGTAGCGTCAATAACCTGATCAATAATATAAATTATGCAAAAAGTTAGTCAATTAAAAGCCAATAAACAAGTTAGGATCGAGAAAAAAGAAGAAGAATACAAAATAACATTCAAAACCAATACCCAATTCATCATTATATTTTAAATTATGAACTGATTAATAACTGCTCGGCATATATAGTGCTTTATATCACATATCCAGAGCCTTGCTTTATATCCTGATTAATTGTGACATGTCTTATTAAATTAGAAAAAATAAACTAATTAATCACCTATTCAATTGATCAATTACCATAACTATTAAAAGACAATTATTCAACCAAGTATTCAATTTTCCAACATTCCAAATTTCTGACCCATTTAAACAATTAAACAACAAAAAAATTAGACACAAAACAGAAAAACACAAATACATAATTAACTTAAAATTTTAAAAAAAAAATCACATAACAACTCAAGTACTCATTCAAAAATCAACATTCAACAAATCAATAATAGATTAATAGAACAAGACAATTAGACAACTAAATAGACAATAACATAAACAATTACACAGTAGAAAATACAAAAATCTGATTTTGATCAAATTAGGAATTTAGGGTTATAACTTACTTTGAATTTTGATTGGAGATTTTGGGAAAGTGAAGGAACAATCCACAACCGAAGGTGGGGTCTGCCGGTCAGGTCGTCCGTCGTCGTTAGTCGCTGCCTCGTCGGAGGTCTGGTCACGAAGGCAGGTGGTCGGAGTCAAAATATCAAATACCAAGGAGGACTTTTGGTTTTAGTGAATTCACAAAAACAGGGGAAAAAATTTGTAAACTATAAAACAAATCTCCAATACCAATTTACTAAAAAAAAAGGAGTAATTTTGATGCAAAAATCTACACCATGAACAAAAAGAATCAATAAAAAAAGATAAGATAAAAGTACCAACATTCAATTGTAGATGATTTCTTACTAGTATTACCTCTGAAATTCTGAATTAATTGCAGAAACTAGGATCACTTATAACTTATAACTGATGAAATGGAGAGATTATGAAATCAGGGTTTCGTAGAAAACAAAAATCAACCGAATAGAGCATCGTTGTGGTGGCCGGCGCGATTTGTTGGCGACGAATTCAAATCGCCTATAGGACTGAATTCCTAAAAGGTGGTGACGACGATGGAGTTCTAGAAGAGAGAGAAAGCGACCTTTTAAAGTGCAACTGAATTCCTGATCTGATGAGCGACGATTATAGGTTGGAAATTGTGGGGGTTTTTTACTCCACCTATGGTTGCAGCGGACTTTCGTTGTGCTTAATTGCACAGAGAAAGGGGAAGGGTAAGAGGAAGAGAGAGAAAGAGGGGATAACGAAGAAAAGGGAAATGGAGTTGTTTAATTTAATTAAAGGTGAGAAGAGAAGAGAGAAAGAGGAGGTGAAAGAATGGACGGAGGAAAGGCGAGAGTCGGTTTAAGAGGGGTGGGCCCTTACATACATAAGAGACCTGTTATGATAAACAACGGGTCTCTTATCTCTTTTCTATCTAAAGCAATTGGCCCTTTGATACATTAGAGACCTGTTATCAGTAATGTTAGGTCTCTTATATTAAAGAGACCTGTTGTATCAACCAACAGGTCTTTTATTAGAGGTTCCTTTGCCTATTTTTGTAGTAGTGTGTGCCCAGAAGTAAGGTTTCAACTTCTTGATTTCCATGAAAAGAGCAAGGCTAAAATTTTCAACCAAGGGGTACTGCAACTCAGCATTTCAAAGAAAATGGCTAATGAAATAGACCGGGAGCTGAATGCCGCCTCTCTCAGCTAGGAGAACGACACTGAGGGCATGATCTGAGACGACCAAATACATATAGAGAACCTCTCCTACTAGAGGGATAACCAACCATGGCAATGAGTGGAGGTGCTTTTTCAATTTCTGGAATGCTGCCTCAGCATTTTCCCCCCATTCGAATCTAGTCTTCTTTTTTATTGCCTGGAAGAAGTAGATACACTTATCACATGACCGGCTGAGGAATCTCCCCAATGCCGCCAGACAACCGGTAAGTTTTTGAACTTCCTTGACAGTGCGGGGTGACTTCATGTCAATTACCGCTTGTACCTTTTCCGGGTTGGCCTCTATCCCCCTTTGATCAATCAAAAATCCGAGAAATTTCCCAGACTCAACACCAAAGACACACTTCTTGGGATTAAGCATGACCTCGTGCCGCTTGAGGGTGGTGAAGGTTTCTCGGAGGTCAGCAAGGTGATCCATCTGTAGCTTAGATTTGATTATCATGTCATCAATGTACGCCTCTACATTCCTCCCAATTTGATTAATGAAGACTGTATTAATCATTCGTTGGAAGGTAGCAGGCGCATTCTTCAGCTTAAACGACATCACCGTGTAACAGAATAACCCTTGATCAGTGACAAATGCTGTCTTTTCTTGATCTTTTTTCCACAAGGGTATTTGATGGAAGCTTGAGTAAGCGTCCATGAAGCTCATCAAGGCATGAACGGCTGTAGAGTCGACCAGACTATCGATCTTTGGAAGTGGATAGCTATCCTACGGACATGCCTTGTTCAGATCTGTGTAATCGACACACATCCGCCAAGTACCATTCGTCTTTTTAACAAGGACAACGTTTGCTACCCAATCCGGGTAGTAGCATTGCCGAATGAACCAGCATCCATCAGCTTCTTGACCTCGGCGACAACCGCTTGAGATCTTTCTTCGCCGTGATTTCTTTTCTTTTGCCTAACTGGCTTCTTTTTTGGATCCACGGCGAGTTTGTGGACAGTAAAATCAGGGCTGACGCTTGACATCTCTTCCACTTCAAAGGCAAAGATTTCTTTGAATTCCTCAGTTGGTGCAAGTCTGCACCCAACTTGGCAAAAGCAACTGTCCCCACCTTAACGGTTCGTTCTAGACGGCTGTCGTTAAGAACAATGTCGATATTTTCACCAGCCGGCTGGGGATAGAGATCATCTGACTATTCCCCGATCAGTGATTGCTATTGCTTCTCTTTTTTACGGCCACCAAGTGGTCCGCCTTTCTCTTTTTGCCGGATGCTTTGGGAGCAGGCGCGTCTTCCTTGAAGTCGTCAAGGTCAATAGGTTCCTCGCCTTGGCCGGCTGCGGCCACCGTAGGCTTGACGTTTGAGAGATAGCACTCCCTTGCCGTCTTCTGATCCCCATTCAGGGAACCCACTGACCCATCATCCCTCTCAAATTTGATAAGCATGAGGGATGGGATGATGACTGCCTTGGACTCGTTGAGGGTTGGACGGCCCAAAATCAGATTGTAGGCGGTCAATTCCTCAACCACCAAGAACTTGACGACCATGTGTCGTCTCTCCCCCTTTTCTCCTAAATGGATGGGTAGGTCAATCCTCCCCACCGGATGCACTACTCCTCCACCAAAACCAACTAAGGGGTGAGAGACTTTGTGCATGCTGCTAGGCTTGTACTTGAGCTTCGCCAAGCACCGATAGCTGATAAGGTCAAACGAGCTCTCGGTATCAATGAGGATCCGGCTCACCCGTTGGTTGGCAACCTTACATTCGATTACTATGGGGTCATCATGAGGCCGCCTGACCTTGCCCCGGTCCTTCTTAGAGATGATGACCTCAGGGAAGGTGTCTTTCGACGCCTGGCCCTCATCCACTGAGTTGACCTCCAGCTTTCTGATGTGGTCCTTAGTGTCCCGGATGGTAGGACCCCCTCCCGCGAAACCGCCTGCTATAGTAATGATTAACTCTTCATCAGTGCTAGAGCTTATAGCAAGGTTGTCAGGCTTCTTGGGCGGCTGACCACTGTTTGTTCTGAGGTTACCCTTGGACTTTGGAATATAGGACTTTAAAGCCCCCTCACCAGCCAAATGGTCTAGTAACCGCCTGAGGCTATAGCAGCTATTAGTGTCATGGCCTATATCCTCATGGAAATGACAATACTTGCTCCTATCCCAGCTTTTGATGGGACTTTTTTGCAGCCGGTTTCTTAATGGTCAACCGGTCTTTAATCTCCATGAGGATGGAGGAGCAGTCCTTGTTGAACTCGTACTTGGGGATGTACAACTTCAACTCTTTCTTTTTCTTCTGGGACGGTTGACTAGAATTGTCCGCCACTTAGACTTCTTTTCTTTTCTTGCTCTCTTCTTTTTTGGTCGGCTGAGCTAACCGGCTCTCATTTTTGTCGGACTTTTTAGGGTCCGACGGCTACTTGATGGCACAAAGCTCCGTTGCCTGTATATAGGCTTCGGATTCCGTCAGAGCTTCTTGGAGGGTAGCCACCCTCTTTCTAACTAAGTCGAATTTGAAAGTTGACCCGTCTTTTAGACCCTTGAAGAAGTATGTGTAAGCTACTTCGTCAGACAGCCCCTGAATCTGAATTCTCATCAGATTGAAACGCCTGTTATAGAACCTTAGCCTTTCTCTATCTCCCTGCTGAATAGCCCCCATATTAAGACTTGTCTTATTGGCTGGGATGTTCATAGAGAAGTTGGACGCGAACAAGTATGTAAGCATCTTGAAGTTATTTATGCAACCGGCTGGAAGATTGCCAAACCATCGTTGGGCTATGCCCTTCACTGTTTTTGGGAAGCATCGGCACCAGGCAGCGTCATTCAACCCTTGTAAGTACATGAGGTTGGTGTAAGCCATTAGGTGGTCTTCCGGGTTGGTGGTACCATCATAGGTACCGACCAACACATTCTTAACCTTGGCCGGCTGAGCCGCCTCATTTATCTCCCTAGAGAACGCCGACGACTGTTCCCCAAGGTTTAGCAGCCAGAGCTGCTAGTCCATAGGCTGGACATTCAGTGCCGCCTGACCCCCGAAGAGGGCCGGTTGCATGTATGGTGATCCATATGGCATGTATGGCTGTTGGGGCACATACAAAGCCGACTGGATAATTTGAGGGCCAATACGTGCGGACAAGCTGCGTGACTGACTCTCTCGGTTTGTTTCCGAATACTTCATTGAAGTACTCTAGAAATTGTCTGGGTAAGTCGATGTTGAGGCCGACTTAGACAACTGTTGACTTCTCTTCTGCTGGATTAACATCTGGGCATCTGAGAAAGTCCTTTTTGATCCATCCGGCTGAACTTGCCGGATAGCCTTCCTTTTCCCTGATTCAGGGAAACGGAGCTTTGAAAGGTCGATCATGGGCCCATCTTCCCCCTTTGGTTTAGGGTGAGGAGTAGGCACACGATCCTTAACGTGCTTTTTCCCTAAGGGAGAAGGCTTTTTGGCTAACTAACCCTTGTTGGTGCCAGTTGACTTGTTTATCAGGTCCTTGATTTTCCCTTTGAAACTTGTCATGAATTTCATGAGTTCGTCTCTAGTAACGGGAGCAGCACCCTCCGCCGCTTGGGGTAGCCCAGCTGGCTTGACGGTTGGGTTGCTTGAACCAGCTTTGTCTTCCCCCCGTTCCCTTTTTTCTTTGGAACGGGTGCGTCTTGTTCTGAGTGACCCGTCTGGGGCCACATAGGTGTCGACTTCGAAGTCGTCACCACTCTCTTGGTCTGTATAGACCTCTACTCCAGCCAAAGGCTGGTTCTCATTAACAGGCGGTACAGACTGCTGTGAAGCCATCTCAGAAGTACTCTCCCCACAGACGACGCCAAATGTTTCGGGGTTTTTGGAGTCCCTCGGGACAGTTACAATTCCAAGAATGTGCGTCGACCTTTTGTACCTGCAAAACCACGGAAAACCCCGGTTAGGTGGAGTTCCGCCTCCGACGATCAAGTTAGAACGTATTCGGATGTATAAAAGTGCGGAATGTTAAGGTTTTTCTTTCGGATTCCGAGAGAATTTTGCAATTAATATTGCTCGGGTTTTGTGTGTATATTTATGAATGTGCAATAAATGAGGATTTTCCTCTATTTATAGTGTAAGGGGATCAGTTCCCCTTTCATGGGTTAAAGTGCCACGTGTCACCAAGGGGTTGGTCCTCTCAGAACCTTTCTGATGCTGACACATGTCAGCACGCGATTGGTCCACGTGGACAGGGTATTTTTACCCTAAACAAAAGTGAATCAGAAATATCCTCTGTATCTTTCAACCACTTTTAATCTCTCAAAGAATTTGCTTTTCGTAACTCTTTCATAGGTATGTCTATGAGCTTACTAATTTGAATATTGTACTCTTGTAAATCCTTTTCAGACTTCAAACTTGGAACTGTTAATATGTAATTTTCATGTGCTAAGTTAAATGAGCCGACCTTATAAGATCTCATAATCTCAATCCCGTAAGCATTAAAATCAACCAAGGCACAAATAAGGATCCGTAACGCATCATGTAGCATCTTGACGAACATTCGACATTGAACATCAGATTAGCCACCACCAGTAACCAAAATACAAGGACACTTATGACAAAAGTTCCCTTCTATTAAGGTTTCAAGAACAACAAGCTTTTCAACATTAAGTATAAAATTAGCATGACAAGACTTTGCAGTAAGTTGTGAACAAGGTCGTTTCTGACATTTTGGAGGCCCAGAGCAAAATGATAATTGAATATCATTTGTTTTTATAA